AGGCAGCATAGAACACATAGTTTGACCGATTAAAGACAGTCACAACCACTATTTTACATCTGCCCTAGCAGAGAGCCCAAGTCCAATGGGGTAAAATCTGGCAAAAGCCAGCCTTGTGGACTAGGGCCACCTGCGTAACTAGTAGTTCTTTAACCAGAACACCCAGATGACGTAGCAGTTAGGTTCGACATACGAAAACTGGAGTTGCAGTTAACCACCAATTGAGCTACCCGTCTTTTGATTTATTTGCCGACTTCATAAGTATTTGGCAACTTGTTGAGGATCTTGCTATGCTGCTAACATTTGTGGATCTTTGTAAATATGACCAAATAATCTTCACAACATTGGTTTATTTTTGCGTAACTTGACTGGAGACAGGGTTAAAATGATTTCAGCTTGCAGAAACATGACAAACACGCAGTTATTTGGAAGGTGTGACAAGTAAACCGTTAAAACCAATAGTAATACCTCTTGTTCTTTTACGTAGGACACAGCTCAGTGTTATATGTGCACTCATTTGACTACTGCTTCCTCTCTTTTATTTAACCGAACCGCATTGGGGCATAACTGCAAATTCCAGGCCCGCTACCTCTTATGTAGCGTAAATACCTTAATGTGCCGCATCGGAACTTTCTAGACTATACATCTTGACTCTGTTTGAATGCGTTATTGACAAAACCGTTCGTTAGTGACCCCGGGCTCTTGCATCAGCATGGAAAGAACTAATCTCCCAACAACAAAAACACATTTTTTTGAAATTGTCACCAAGAAGAACTGGTAACTTCTCAGAGCTCATCCTTTCGCTCTCACATCAAACCATGTTCTGTGACTCCAAAACAACGATCATTCATGGCCTTCTAGTTGCCATCGTCGTCCGTAATGGATTCCTTAATAAAGTTAGCGTATTCTCAGAAATGAATGGTCAAGTGTTGTCTGACGAGACAACATCAAGCATAATTAACAGAGAGAGCTAACTCACATCTCGTAGAATGAGTGATAGGCAAGTTGTATTTGCTGATTCGTAACGCCCAAAGTCAGTTTTTCCAGCCCCATTATGCGTCTGAGTCACTAATTACCGTATCTTCTTCCCTCAAAAGAAAAACGACTTATCTCGTCATGTTAGCTGTTAGATAGTTTTCTGCAGGGCGCTTGTAATGCGAGCAGTGCATTCACGCCGCCTTCCTTTGGCCTGTCTATTACGAGACCAGTGCCTGTAATTGAGATTCACTTTCACTGCAGCTTCGAATTGTTCCCTAGAGGAATTCGGCTCTCGAATTTAACCTGTTTCAGCTTTACGCTTGGAGTATTAAAGGGAATAATTAAGAACGTAATTATTGGCCTAAAGGAGTGTTTAAATTAGCGGGACTATAATATGAGCTTCCGTGGATTGGTGGCTGTAAATACGTAAAATACAGAGAGGAAATTTAACTGAATGTAATTGGAAACTGGTGCGAAAAAGCAATGTGATCTGTTTGTAAGTTAAAGGACATTTATGGTTGGTTATCTTGAGATTTCCAATTACCGTTATTCAAAAATTCAGCACACGCCACTGCAGCAATTCGTAAACCAACAAAGGGACTCAGGGAACTCAAGAACTATCACTGGTCTGAATTTGCCCGGAATTGAGCCTCCACTATTCCTCCATGATCAGAGTCGCTCAATCGAATGAAGAAGAAAGAAAGCGAAGCCGACGTCTTAATACTGGGGTCGGTCAGATTGGGGAAATTTGAGTGCAAGGCAGAATGTGGAGACTGCTCGGAACCTACAAATCCCATCTGTCGGGTCTGGTAACTTAAGGCTCAGAGTAGGCGGGCTGGAAATAATTGTTAATTTACATCTGTTATTGTATAGAATGTGCTTGTTGAGGCTAGTAGATACGTCTAACGCCACAATAGAGGCAATGGAGAGCTCCTATTCGTAAATTATTCAGTCTTGGCCATAACTTAGGATATCTTAATATCAGAATCAGACTTCGTCTGTGTTTATATACATAAATCAGTTGACTACGGTAACCAAGTAGTCTGGTCCAAGTGCCGTGGACGTGGAGATTACCTCTGTGTTTTGCACTTAACACTTTAGTAAACCAACCAATCATTTCCACTCGTTTATGTATCTAGTCTTGTTGCTTTGCTCCATTGTCAGTACATGGGGCGTTTCATCGAAATGAGGTATGTGGATCTAAAATACTTGGAACGGCATTCCTACACACTATATCGGTCTCCAATGCATATTCTGAGCTCCGTCCCTAACTATAAGCGCAATAATTTCCAAAAACGCGCAAATCTCTTTCAAAAAGAGACCCAACCTGGTCTTTTACGCTAGTTCAAACGATGAATCACTACCTATTGTCACAAATGTGCAACTTTTATGTGCACAGCAAAAACGAAAAAAGCAGAAAAGTTCTAGAATTTGAGGTTTTTTATTCGACCACACCAATACTTTAAAGCGTTGGTGACTTTACCATTTTTGATGCCTAATACTGCTGTCAAAATAAGCAAAACCTCAACAGCGCATTCGAGCTTAGGTGGAGTCAAATGATCCCAACTCCCTAACGGTAGCCTGACTGCAAGCAGTTCGTAAACTACTCCACTTTGAATCCCAGTTTCTGAGCAGAGTAGGTTAAGGCTGATTGCTCAGCTGCCTGGAGAGTTAGTTCGCAATTAGATATTTCAAGGACTCTAGAAGGCTTCAACTTAAATGAAATTCGGCTATGCGAGGAAATATTTATCAACACAGTGACGGAGACGTTAATGACCCACTGCAGGATTTTGCATCGGAACGAACAGCACAGAAATAAATGCCTTCGGAATGGAGACTTCAAACCAGCTCTGGTTGAAGATACTCACACGTGTGCATCCAGTGGTGTTTAATATAAACCTAAGACGTGACAAAGTGTAGAATCTCTCGGGGTTTTAAAAAAACGATTAATGGACGTGTGGGTAGTCCTGTATGAACTGACTTCCATATGCAAGGCTGTAGGCCTAAATAAATAATTACAAAGCGTAAGCTCTTTCATTAATCATCATCCTGCCACCGGAAACTGCTTCAGCCGAAACCATGAACACTCTGCACACGTTAAAATTCACACATTTACACTCACACACACACACATCCAAACTCATTGGGCCATGCTTTTGTACAGTTATCAGATCTAGGAAAGTGAACCGCTTGTTACCTAACATCGGGGCAGAACTCTGGCTTATTGTGGCCTACCATTTTCGGTTAATTAGGTATCTAGTCATTTCTGTGGCTAGTTTTACTATGCCTCATGGTTAATCTGAAGGATTTTGCACGAGTCATTGTAACCTGCAGTGTTATCTTTAAGCTGACAAGAACTAGAAGATTTTCTTCACTTGGTCCATGTTTGTCACAACACGAACAAGTCGATAACGCCGATACGCATACCAAAATAGTTGTGACTCAGATCGAAATAAGAAATCGTGCAAACACGTAGAAAGTGGCGGTCAGCCTTTCAAATTGTGTGAGCGCGGTGGGAGGACGTGGCTCAAGTGCTAGATGACGCATCGTATTGCATTAACCACGTTGAGAAATGTTTTACTCGGTCAACCTGTGATAGCCACGTCCTTGCCTTGTGATTTTCAATGAATTATTTTCGGAAGCTGTGAAATATATGAGCTCTGTCATCGAGAGAAGCCACTGATTTGTAAAAAGTGTGTCTTTAAGGTTAGGGGCTTTTCGAGTGAGGCCCAAAGTGTGGATATTCCCCTCCGGTCCTGTCTCGACAGTCACACAGAATTACGCTCCATTTAAACCACAGAATTCACATTTATCGCAGCAAACTTCAAATCAATCCTTTGTCAATTGAAATCAGAGTTCCAGGTCCTTCACAACACAAAAAATCCCTCTTCAACAAGTTGCCCATCGTTCGACGGGGTGTGTTTGAGAGGGACCTCTCAACCTCTTCCATTCAGTACAAGATTTGTTTTTTTACACATTGTTCCGTATTTCATAAAACAAATTGCCATGGAAAGTGGATCATCAGATGATGATGAAGAAACACTGTTAGAGTCCTTCGATTCTTGCAAAATCGTGATCCTGAATTTGTTCAAAGAAGAAGGGGTTCGCTTCTAGTGGCATTACAAGTTTTGCGCACACTTCCTTGGTTCTTAAAGTACCGTACTTCGGCAGTCGCTGTGTCTAAACACAATGTTATCCGTTGTATTTTCGCTCCAGCCTCTTGGCCATGTAATTCTATTTCCGATGTACTCTTTTGTTGTTTACTATTGCCAATTTTACGGTTTCAACCGCCTTATACTGCTTTAGGCTATCTGCATTACACATGGATTTTTAGCTTTTTGTTCTGTTACCGTTGCATTGCCTTTTCCATTCTCCTCGACACCCTAAGTTCTCTTTTGATGAGTAAAATGCTCATTTAGGTTTAACGCACTCCGAAATCAGGGAATAGTAGGTTATTACAAACCTTCCTTAATTCATCGCCTTCATAGCTCCCTAGGGACTAGTTTACTAGGTGTAGCAACTACTAATCCAGTGCTTAAATATGCGTCGAAATGTACCAGGCTGCGGCCCATTTTGAGTGTGTGCAAGAATAACCCCTTTTGATTGGGTTGGTGGACTCCAAATTTCAAAACGAGTACCTAAACAATCCCTGGGCAACTGAAAGAAAAATTTGATGTTCTTTGCTGTTTGCTTTGCCGAAAAGGTGTATACACCCTCGAAAGTAGTTGTGATGACTAAACCAATTTTGGGGGAAAAGCAAATGACAAAACTGGAGGTGCCTGCTTCACCTGTTCATAAGCCTCATTGAGTGTGTTTAAGACATCGGTTGCTGGGCTAATTGCGGTGATTTTGGGGGTTGTGAATCAGTCAAAGCCACATCAGTGTGTGTGCACAAACGTGTCTGTGAGTGTGCAACTGATGCGTCATGTGGCGATGAAAAATATTCTCCTTTCCCTCCTCCGCCTCTCCATCATCTGGGCCCCCAATAAACCGTGGTTTTTGTTCCCCCGCTTGCCCATGACTCACAAGGTCCGCGGACTGATATGGGGACGCACGGCGCACACGCACACCCAATGTCGTCCCACGTAGTCAGCTGCGGCCTCGTCGCCTGCGCGCACGGCATCAGTGGACCGGCCGTCGAAACCACGTCCGCACATCTCCCCCACCTTTTGTGTCTGGACGATACCTTTTTTTCTCTGTGCGGACAGGCCGTTGTTTTGAGTAGCAGTGTCCACCGGGACGACCGGAAACGCATTGGTCACAATTTTTAGACATGGACTCTGAAGCGGTGCGTAGTTTGAAATAAATGACGGAGACAAAGACATTATCTCTTGTGCAGAACGCAAACACGTAGCACCTCAGTAAAAGTGAGTGCAGTGGTGTGTTTGAAGCAGTTCAACTGCCCTTGTACTTTCTCGAAAGGCCATTGGTGCGGTGTACGCGTCAGCTACAAGGATGTGAGCCTAACGCGTCTAACGGTCTGCGTTCACGCAAGCCCACATTCCTTTACAATCAATATCGTTTTCTTTATTCTCTCGAGCCTATATTTCACCTCCGAATTAATGCCAAACGAGCGCCGAAAATGCCACGTACTTCAGCTATAAGCCTCCCAAAGCTTCGGCTTCTATCTACTTTTAAAATACAGCATCATTTAGTTGCTACCTAGGCAATGATGCTGGGGTTTTAAGAAGACTACTGTCTCAATCCATAGTTTGAAAAACCGCTTACATGAACATAGCCATTCTGAAACAGCCTCAACTACGGTTACTTCTATCCCCTTGCCAGAATGAATTACAGGCCTAAATGCCACAAGGAAAGTACACGATGATGATCGTGGCACACAGACCATAAAATGCATCACACAACTGTAAGTTCCAGTTTGGGCACTTCTTTGATCAGTCAAAGAGCTGTAGGAACAAGAAGCGTACTCACCGAAAGCAACTTGGGGCTCAACATGGCATTCGAAGAAAAGAAGAATAACCCTTCTTTATGGGTTCAGCTTCGGAGTTCATATCTGCTTTCTAAATCTGATTACCACTAGGTAGAATACGACGCTCCACTGTGATAAGAAGGTTCGCCCACAGCTTACACTCAAAGTAGAGCACATCAAACAAGCATCAGTGTAGCGTCTGCATGCTTTTCACTTTCCGCATTATCCTATTGTTAATTAAACAACTGGAACAAGCCGAAGATTATTTATGCAAGCGACAAAAATCCATTGTAAACAAGAGTTGCGTCTTCACTTAAACCTCGCCGGAAACGGCTTTCTAGTTTTCAACACAGGTTTCAATGCAAGTTTGGTTTTTCGACGCTTTTCTTAAAGACTGGTTCCTGTAATCGATGTCAGTTGATATGATTTCATATTCGTGAGTTAAGAAAGAAGACGAAAGAATGAATTATAGTCTGCGTGCAATCCTCGTCCTCGATTATGTGAAATTTCGAAATTGAGGAAAGCACCCACGATTGTACAGTCATTTCCTGTTACGTTTGCCTGTAACAAAGAGAAAACCACTCAAATAACGGTACCAGATCCCTTGCTGACGCTATAACCAACTTTCCCACGTTAATACAGGAACAAGACCAGAGCTCGTGTGGAGAGCTTTATTCACGTCAGCCACGTGCAGAGTGAAGTGTCGAAAGTGAAACTAATTCAAGTCAGAGTTGACCTTGACTTGATAAAAAGCGTACTAAAACACATGCTAGCGAATTAGTGTAAATTGTGCCAGAAACCAACAACGAGAAATCGTGGGGAATCTTGGATCCCAGCATTCCCCTAAGAGTATGCGGTGAAGCCTGATGGTCAACGTCGAGCGTGCTTTAATCGATGTGGTTGGGGACACATACCAGAACCTCAAAATACACACTTTGCAAATGCCTACTTTTTCACATCACACTTAAAGTACCGAAATCGAAAAACACGGGTCGATCATTGCATGGTGGAAAAAAATTCTGCAAGTTCCTTCTGCGTTTGACAGGCATGTGTTCCCAGGAGACGCCACACCAGTTCCATACTCTGCTAGGAGCTATTTTTCTTCGCCTTAATGATCACACAACTAAAAAAAGACAGTAAATTGCCTGCAGTTTCCTTTAAGGCGCGTTTTATCTAGAATTTGTAGTTTGGGTGTTGTAGACGCTCCAAACGCCGACATCTACATCAAGCTATTTACGTGGAGAGAGAAAGTCCATTGGCGATCAGCTCGTCTTCTAGAAACGAAATTAAGAGAATGTTCGAATGCTCCCACCAGGCATGATCGAACGTTAATTTAATCTAGTCTTGAGTTCGATTATCTAATTTGTGCTACATTTCAGCTTATCGACCTTCGCGCTGTGATTAACACACAACGTGACACCTCGACACCCCAAACGACATCCTTTTTATCGATACAACAAAAGACCTAGCATCTGTATCGTTAATTTGCTTCTTTTTATCTCCTGGTCAAGTTGTACCAGCGAGAATCGCCGACCTCGGGCGTGGTTTGAGGCATACACTGGGACCGCTATGAGTTCGGTTGGATGTGACTGTCTGTTGCCTAACCGCCTTCATTTCGGGTCGGAAGTAGTCCAGCATACTCCCCCAGATAAGCTCTTCAGCTGTCATTCCTAATGATTGAGTTAAAAATTTATCTGACTAACCTTCTTGAGTTATGGCGTGCTTCAGTGTGTTTCTTTTTAAAAAAAATTACAGACTTTAAAGTCGTATTTAAAAGAACACTGATTTATAGCCTAAAACCTGTCACAGGAATAGTTTAAAGAAATCGCTGCTGTACCGAAGTATTCTTTAGAACTGGCAAACCTGACGCATGCGAAGAATAAATTTATCTTTCCTAAATTCTCCGATAACTTGCTTGGTGCCTGCAAAATCGACGTAGAATTATGCATGCAGGAAGCTTGCCAATGAAATACGAACCTGGGTTTAAAACTAATTATAATTCTCATACAAATTATGGAAGATGAAGATCATTTGTATGGTCATCGAATCGGAGACCGACATGAAATACATGATTGCGCTCATAGGCAAGTGTCATTTAGTTTTGACAAACATTAAAATGTGGCACCAAAGATGGAGGTAAGCAATCAGTCTCTAAATCTCAATGAATGTCGTAATTGATCCGCTTTTTAGGCTTCAGCACTGCCCAATTGCAACGACTGCCTACTTTGGGATGCTTTCACAAGCCCATCAAGACCCGCAATAGCTCTAGCCAATTCCGAATGCTAAAACAACCTCGGAATTGTTTAATTAATCTCTCTTTGGAATCTCCTGATTACGACGACTGCAGCTACCTAAACCTACAGACGCTCAAAATTTCACCCAATAAGGGTTTTGTTTGATTCTGGATCTATATGCGTTTTAACATGTGGAAAATGGGCTTCGTGTGCGAGTGTGGAAGAAGGCTTTTGTTCGTGCGTGTGTGTATTTATCTCCGTAAACGTATGTATGCAAACGAGACGACATGCATAAATCATGCGACGATCGCATCCCGCATCCCTACATTCGCGCTAATTAGGCCGAGGAAGATTCAGTCCCTCCCTGTAGCCAAAAAACCCCAAGGACTTTCTGCTTGTAGGGCAGGTAGGAAAGGAAAATGGACAGCGTTGGGCGTTTGGACATTTATTGTTGGCAACGCGGATGTTTCCAATACCTCGTTCTTGTCCACTCCCTAGATTAACACTACTGCCTCCACTCATGGAAGGTTCACAGGCGGATAGGTACACCCCAGATGCAGGCACTTGGTCTGGTTAATTTTACATTCCAGAAATGCAAATGCTTGTCTGCCTTGATAGCAAGAACCTGTGTCACTCTATTCACTGCCGAAGATGCCGGATAAATAAGAAAGGCGTTTACAGGTCCCTAAACCAGTTGATTTGAATTGACGTAAGCATGCGTGCCGGGATAATCGGTTTGAACAATTACTTAAGCCTCCCCCGCTTAATGACGCCCCGCCTAGATACTGGCTCATTACGTGACTCACCTTCGGTTTGCGATCGAAACATTTTCATAAACGGCTACGCGTCATTTTGACGTGCTGATCAGCGCTAGGGACAACGTTGTCAAGGCACTTTCCTTAGGAAAGTTGTGTCACACTAAAACTACCGTTTTTGTGTGTCAGACAGCAACGTTCAGCTCAGAAATTCCTCTGGCTTACCTCAGGCATGTTTTTTTGTGGTGCAAGGATATATACTCCAACAACAACACTGGGAGGCGAAGAGAATTTCTATCAACTGCAGAAATTTCATCAATGCTACAACTTATGTCTACATTAAGCCATTTTGCAAGGAAACAGTTTTATGTATCTTGAGTCTAAACAAGGATGTGTTAGCTCCAAAATGATTACGTCAAATTGTTGAAAAATGACCACATTTGTCGTCCACACACCTGCATTCACTTTAAGCTTGCAATCAGCCCCTAGAAATGATTTTACTGAATTTCAGAAGTCATTGTGATCTTTAATTTTTCTGTGATAATTAAACGTTTAAGTTAGAAAAAAAAGTTTAAATACTTCTTCCTAGACTAAATGACTCCGTCTGCAACAACGTGACTAAGCAGTTGGTTTGATTTGCTATTTTTTTTTCACAGTCATTTAGACCCATGACATTTACTGTTGACGTGGTACAAATGGCTTTAAACTGGTTCCTTTAGTTTGTAGTAATTTGAAGCTCGACCTTCATTTCAAACAACCTAGGTCGCTACCTTTTACAACTTGAAAAAGCTTTCTGTGGTTATCTCGATGCATTAATGCTTTTAGTCGTCTTCCATGTCTTCCCGAGAAATACCTAACAACTTAAATTATACCTGACTTGAGTGAGTACTTGCGTGGGCTTTTTTTATGATCATTTGTTCGTCGTTCGCCAGCCACCATTTGATCAAGTTAGTGCCCCACCCTCAGCCATCCAAGAAAATTGCCATTCCATCTTTACAAACCTGTTTTTAAACTTGTGTCTTTTATGAAGAAGTTCAGCAGCTCAGTCCATTTTTGACACTAACAAAGAATTAGTGCAACAAAAGCTTTCTGAAAAAAATAAATTTGACAAAGGTTCACAAAATTCCTTTGTTTTACTTGCATTTTAAGGCGTCTTTCATAAGTCGCAATACATCCTGGGTGTCTAGTGAATAGTTATTACTCCCAAAATGTGCCTGACGGCCGAGATGAGGCGATTCCCCTGGAAAACAGCTAATAGGGCTACTCCCATGCAACCAGGTTCTCCTCTAAATATATCGAACTTGGTTGTTAAGGCGAATTCCAGATTTCGTGGGAGGGCTTTCCCTTTGGAACTTCTTTTAGATCTTATTGATATAATGGAAATAATTCGGTCCTGGTTATAATCT